CTACTTGTAGAGAAACGTAAGGTCTTGCATATCAGTGCTAAAATATTATTAATTCAAGAACATATTACCGTATTTCAAGAATAAGATTTTGTATGTGACTTGATCAAACATTATTGAGAAATATGAGACGCCTTGACAACGTGATGAGGTGCTATATCAAATACAAGGATTATTATTGTTGATTCATGGCAACAATTGGTAGAGCCAAAATAAATTCTTAATGTGTACAATATGTAGAGTTTATATTCAAGAAGGTTATGTTTATTCTAAAGGAAAGATGAGAACACATAATGGACAATTGTCGCATTCTCATCATAATATATGAGGAGAATAACGGAGAGATACAAGGGATTGTACATGCCTTAAATCAATCTGCATTGATGAAAGGTTAAAGAAAGAAAATATATTCTAATCGGTAAAGTAAAACTAAAACGTGACAATGATCAGACTTTTAAAAATCGTGAAGGGAATTAGAGGGGTGGATTCAAAGAAGTTCTTTGTGCAGAGTCAGAACAGAACTAGTGCACATGATTTGTGAATAAAGGAAACTGAGCTAAACCTAACTTAAGGAATAACGTCTGCAAGTCATTGACTTAAAATAATTTTTGGTTAATCGTCAGGTATGTCAAAATCAAATTATATTTGAGTCACTTGAATACCAAAAAATATTTAGTAAGAACACAAGGAGGCCATGTTATACAGACTCTATAGAGGATATACATGAAGTCCTACAAAACCCATCCGTCTAGATTCAAATCCAGCATCTCTAAATATTTTAAATTTTACTTTTTAGTAATAACGACATAAACCATGTTAAAACTCTTCCTTTGTAAGACTGCCGTATATATTCTCTTAGACAGTGCGCAGCAAAAGTTTATCATTTGACTCCCAGATTTTAGTTGGACAAATGATAAAGATGCAATAGCACTTTGTGGTATAATGGAAGCTGCACCATTCATTTAAATAAGTTGTTATTACAGCCTCAAAAATCAGATGCTGCAGCATATTGCTTTTCAGATAATTTCTGCTTTAATGGCAGGCGCTGTCTGCCTAAAGAAAAGATGATGGTAAGAAGTAGAATAATAAGTGGCCAATAACATTGCATATAACTTTATGCATAAAGTAAGTAACTATTAAGCAGATCAATCATTGATCAGCAAAGGCAATTTCAAGTATTCATCAACACAGCATCTGTCATAAATAAATGAGCAGTAATATAGAAAGGGTTGAGATGACATTGATAAACTGTTGTCACTTTCCTCTGGTGGTTTATGGCTTCATTCCAATCCGTCATCAGTGCTTTGGGAACACTGCAGATTGTTTTCTGCTCTCTATGTATTTGCTGCATCTGGAGTCAGCAGAAATGGGCTTTATAATTTCCTGTTAGGTTAAAGACACTTTTGTCCCATTTTATTAAATGCTTTGGGCTATTTCCGTCAGGAGTTCAATACTGCAGATATGGTTTCTCTTTGTATCAGAGAAAGCAAAGTACAATTGAAAGCCGCACACACGTCAGTCTCTGTCACGGGAGAAGAAGCAAAAACGTGAATTTGTTCATCTGATTCTCCCTTGGGGTCAGAGGAGTCGTGTCTACGTCATGTAGGTGGTAAAGCATTGAGTCATTAAACGGTAACCTTCTCTACTGCATCTTTATCTTTTGGTAAAGGACAATTTTGACTTTATTTGTGTTGCTGGTGGAGGAATCGTGAATTGTCATTAATCTGCCCAATGCAATTTTAATGTTAACTCTTGAACCTCTGTTTCCTTAGGCAATACTGCAAGTTTTTAAACACATGGACTGTGAAACATTAAAATACTTTGAATTGTATAGTAGTAGTTATCAAACATTAATAATACTTATTATTAGGATTATTAACTTTATTAAAATTATTAGGATTATATTAATCAATGAATATTAGAATACATATTCAAATGAACTTTGAAGCTTTAAACACTTTATCATGTTTGCCTGCTCATTCCTTTTTTCCTACTATTCCCTCTTCAAGCCTAATACTTGCAGATGCACCGAGAAAGCAGGCCGAGAGGACACAGGCTTAGGGTTGCAAAGGAAGATTTCGGGAGAGACACCAGGAAATCCTCACCAGCAGCAAATTCCACACACTCAACACCAAAATCCTCACTTGATTCCACGGGTTCCCTATCTCCGAATAAAGCGACTTCAAGATCCTCACCCTCACATACCGTTCCCTCACACCCAAACACCTCCCTGACCTGCTGTTACCCAACTCCTCTGTCCTTTGCTCAGCTAACGCAGCTCGGCACGCCACTATCAGTGACTGTTGATTCAACCACTACACTACTAATCTCAGAAACTTCCTGCTCAGTCCCTCCGCTTCATCCCTCTTTATCTATCTTTAAATACTGTCTGAAGCCCTACCTCTTTGACTGCTCCAAGGCTGCCTCCCCGTCCTACCTGGTTCAGCATCCAACCCCACCACTGTACAGCACTCCAAGCTCTCCCATGTGAAGACCCTCCATGTTTGTTTTGCAAACCCGGTGTAGCACAGGATGGAGCCCCATAGTGCAGTGGTTAGAGCACTCACTTCATAAACGAGAGGACCTGGGTTCGATTCTCAGGCGGAGAGAAACTATAGGCAAGTTTCCTTACTCCACACACCTTTGTTTGCCTAGCGGTATGAGGAACCCAGTTTTTAGTCGATTGATGGGGGTAATAATCCCTTTTTATAAAAAATTGGTAAATTTTGGTAAATAAACTGTTTGTGGGACACTGCTTTGCCCAATTGGCTGTTGCGTTTTGTCCACAAAATACAGTCAATTAATTTTACAATATATTTTGTGAAGCGATTTGACCCATCTCAAGGCCCTCCTCTTCAACTGTGCTTTCGATCACCCTCCTTCCTCACTGCCCTCCACCCTTCCCAATCCCGACCTCCAGCTCGGGTCCGAAACACTGACTGTCCAGCACCTTGGGACATTCTCCTGATGTGAAACGCGCTATATACAAATGTAATTTTGTTGTTGTTGTCTCAATGATGAGATAATGGATCTCGAATGCAACAGGACAATTTACGAGGAACAGGTTACCGGGAAGGATGGTTGAGGCCAGGACACTGGACTCATTTAAAAACAGCTTAATGCTGTAATGGAAGATGGTTTTATGGGTATTCGGGAAAGATGAGATTAAATGGGCTGAAGTAAAATTAAACTCAAAACATGACAGAAGGGAGAATAGATCACCTCTCTTGTGATCAGTTCTGATGAAGGGTCGTGGACCCAAAACGTTGACTCACTTTCCTTTCTCCATAGATGGTGCCTGACCTGTTGAATGTTCCCAGCGACTTCTGTTTCTATTTTGCTCTTATAGTAATAATAATAATAATAATATGGTAGACATGCTTATACTGTAGATGGGAAAAAGCTAATCTCTGTTAAAGTTAATCTCTGTTATACTGTACAAAATAGGGAGATACCATATACGACATACCCATCATATTTGAAATACTACTACTAATTCTTGCACTTGATATAGCGTCTTATCACGTCATTGAGGCATCGCAAAGCAAGTTACAGAATAAATTGTAAAGTGGATTGACTGTGTATTTTATGGGTGGAATGTCGCATCTCAGATCGTAGCTGTAGATGATGTTTATTCTGCACACTGTTCTATGCTGGTACTTTGTACTGGAAGTACTGACTTCTTTCAATCCGCTTTAATATTGCATTTGGAATTTAAAAATGAGGCTCCTCAGGGTCTCATTAACTGCACCAGACACACAATGTGAAGAGTTCAAGATATAAAGGACATGATTTTCTCCAGGGCTGGTGGCTGCAAATTTATTCTGTAAACTGGCAGAAGGTAACACTTTCCCTTTGCCCACGTAATTGCAATATTTAAATATGCATTTTCAAAAGCGATGTATCTGCAGAAGTCATTTTTCTCAGCTGCTAATGTACAGTGGGTTCGTTAGATCTAAAGCAGTTAGTCAGAGGCAGACTCTGGGTAAAGAATTAAAGGGTGCAATCAACATATCATAACTTAAAATTTTCCTTCTAAATTCTAGGATGAAAATGTAGCCTCTGGTTGCAGCACTGTCCAGCAGAGTATGTACGTACAGCAGTCTTGCAAATAATTAGTTTTAACCTGGTATATGTTGTTAAGAGAAAATAAAGTTGAAAGTATTTGCAGATGCTGGATTTCAGGGCTTTATGTACAACTCTGATATAATACCAACAGGAAGCTGCATCAAAACCCCTACATTCAATGGGGAAAATTAAAACAACAACATCTTGCATTTATATAGCACCCTTCACGCCGAATGGCGTCTCGGAGCTCTAGTAGCAGCGATGTCTGCTGACAGGCAAAAAAAATTGGTGATTGTGAGATTGTGCGACTGATACTGTTTGCAAAGAGACCATTTTTGTATTGTGAGAGATGAAGACAGAAAATGCAGGTCTGTTGCACCTTTTAGCACTAAAATATGTTTGTTGAAGCGTGATCTTAATTACGTTTTAAATGTTTTTTTGGTCAGCTGTGTGTCTGAGTTTCTGACACCTGCAGACACCCATCACCGTGCTTAAGAGTATCCAAACCAAATGAGAGTTCCATGCATCCCACCTACACATGGAACGCATTCTCTTCCTGGAGGGACCGATCCGATTTACCTAATTCCACACAGCTGGCCCGAGCCAAGGCCTGTGGGTCCCAGAAACTACTTTAAAAATGACCTCTACTTTTATTATTACTGAGCAGTTCACCTGCAGAGCCCTGCAAATACCATACTGATGCTGTGCGAAACTCTTAGGGACAAACATTTATTTTACTGTTCGTGTGAAATAAACAATTTTATTAACATAACCAAAAAGTTGGAACACTTGCAGCAATGAGTTGTATACACTTGCGATTCAGGTAAGAAACCTGACAAACTCAGTGAGTGGTATAAAAATGGAAAAAGATGACAAATTTAATAATCCTTGCTTATGATATGGTGCCTTCTGCCTTCGAGGCATCTCAAAGTGTTTCACAGGATTTACTATAAAGTGTAGTAACTGTGTATTTTGAAATGTTTACTCCTTATCTAACAAAATCTGAATAAGCTCCTGACAGTTACTACACATGAGAAAACACTTTTAAAAAAATCTATAGTTCAAGAGAGAACCGCTTATTAACAGCTTACAAAGCAGCTGCTGGATGTCCTATTTGCTCACTTCGGTTTTCCAAGCATTCACTGAACACATGGACATCCCGCAGTTGACCACACATTACTTCTCAGTGGTTGGATTATGCAACGAGTCACCATTATATCTGTCCACCTTTGGGACCGAAATTCAAACCCAAGTTCAAAATAATGGATTTGACTGTAATTAATTTTGGGCAATTCTGCAGATTCTGAGCTCACAGTACAAAATCAAAGTCCAATATTCTATTAACAGTCGCAGCTGAAAAAGTCACAAAGATAGCTGGGATTTAAATGGATATTTTGTATTGGTAAAATAGACATGTTCTTCTACGGTTGTGATCAGAACAAGTACATCATTGTGACAGTGAGAGAAAATTTATCCCGCTTCTAACCAGTTTATATCTAAGGAGGGGGATAGTTGATCAAGTCCGATATGGAAAACCATAAAGGAGAATTGAGTAAATAATCTATAGACCTGTATACATCAAAATCAGATATCACTTTCAGTCTAAATAATAGTGGTATTTGTTGAGTAGTAATCTCTGCTCTGATACCAAAAATGCAAGGATTAAAAACATGACTGTTAAATAGCTGAAATGGCTGAACGTTGCCACATTTGTATTCAGAAGTTTTTCCAACAATACATTCTAATTTTGTATAAAATACTACAAAGTAAACCTTAGGATGTCCAAAATTATGGAAATTCTAAAGACGAGATATTTCTAATTGCGCTGTAACTGTATATCAAGTTTATTAAATAGTTGACTATTATGTACTAGAGATCCTAACTGCTCAATACATCGACTCTCAAATTTTATTGTTCACCTTATAAACATTATTGCCTTAAATTGTGCTGTTTCATATTTTTCAAACATTAAAGGTACAAGGATTTTATTAAGTCACTGTTGTCTTTGTTTTTGTCAGACAGGTATTAAGTTTTTCACCAAGCTTTTGAATGAGGAAAGCCAGCTCCTCTGTTGCTTGAGACTTGTCCTCCAGAAGCTCATATCGAAGACTCGAGATATCCTGTTTGATTTCTTTCAATTCACCTGGAAATAATATTTGAACATTACTAAGATACTTGGAGATTACAAACGAGTGCATATACAAACACATTCTATTTCTGTACTTACTTAAAGGTGAGGTAATGTCTTGCAGGAGTACTTTTTATCAAACATAGTGCCATTAAAAGTAAAGGCAAAAAACAGCTTCATGACTCAGTTCCTAGGAATCCTCGTTACAGGAACTCACCCCTTGAGTTAGGCATCTCTGATTCCTTACATTATGAGGAAGAACTAGAGGGTCTCCAATTGATTTTGATAGAGGTGGGAGGATTGAACTGCCCTAAAAGCAAATCAGGAGCTTCCCGACCAGGAAAGGTCAGTGGGCGTGAGGGAGAATTAAAAGGGAAACCAAAGCATAAGAAATAGAGGATTTTGTTTATTTTGATAAGTGCCACACCACACAGTGAATTTACCCACTGAGCCCCTGGGGGAAGCCCATGACCTTCTCTGCTCTATACCAAATCTGGCTACTTTTGTGCAGTCTTCCAAGGTGCTAGTTCAGTCCGCTGAGGATGCCAAAACCATTGTTATTCAAACGCCGTTTGTACAAGACAGTACAGATTTACATTGGTATATATAGCAGCAGATTTTACTGGGAAATAACATGTCGCATTTACAAGAAAATAGCTCATGCGGCATTTGTTATAATCAATAATCTACTGGCCTGCTGTTGTTCCTTACCCTCATTAACTTCATCATTTTCTTTATCAACTTGTGCTTTCAAGACATAACGTTTGATCAATCGTTTCATTATTTGCTGTGACAAGAAAAAGGTGAAATGAGATTATCAAAAAAACCTGCCCAAAAATGTCAAAGTAAAGTTACTTTGTAAAAAGTTACTTTGTAAAATTCCCCTATGTGTATTGGCCATTTGACTAGAATAATTAATCAATAACAAATAATAATCGGGGAGGCGTTGCAGTGAATAATGCTATACAGAACCGACATGGACCTTCTAAAAAGAAACACATTTTCCTGCATATGATGGAATAATATCTTAGGCTGCTGCTCGGGATTTAGGGGATGTCTCTGGGGTCAAATTATTTTACGGACATATAAGTGCAAAACAAAAATATTTGTTTGTATTTGTGAACCGCACAGGTTAGACCCCACATGTGCATCGATTGCATGTAATTTCAATGAATGATAACAAATATATAGATATTTTTTAAAAAAACTTAAATGTAAAAAGCGTCTAATTATACTGAACAACGACATGACAGGAGCTGCAGAAGGGCACCAACCATACACAGGAAGCTGCTCATTCATACAGTCTGACCTTGAGGAGGCAAAATGCATTTCTAGCTATTATGGGCAGATGATACTCTAACAATCTGGTTGAAATGTTGCTTTACTTCTTATGTGATATTAAAATGACAACAGCTGGAAATGCTATACAAAATTATGAAGTTTTTTGACAGAGTGAATAGGGAATAGCTATTTTCACTGGTAGAGCAAACAGTGACTAGAGGACGCAGATTTAAGATAGCCACAAGAGTGAAAAGCGATCTAAGGAGATTTTGTTCACACAGAGTTGTCGAGATTTGGAATGCGTTGCCAAGGAAGATGGGAAAGGCAGAGTCCATTAACGGTTTCAAAAGTACAGATATAATGAAGATTTGAGGCTTGAAGCTATAGGGATAGGGAGAGGCGGTGGGATTGAAAGTACCATTTGCTCTGAGAACCAGGGCTGACCTCCTTCTGCACTGTCAATTTATGTGATTATAATTATGAAGAACTAATCTTACATGTGAATTCTTTAAGTCTGTACCTGAAAGTGTATGCACTGATGTTCTGAGTGAATGTATCACTAAAGAATGAATACCAGCAGATATGAATCCATTAAATCTGACACAATGATGAGAAAAAGAAATGCAGAAAAGAGAAAGAAAAGTCGAGTTTGGACTAAATAACTTTCAATCCCACGACTCTGCTCTATCCCTATACCCCTTCAAGCCTTTAATCTTCATTATAACCTGTCTTCTTCCCTCTTGAAACCCACAATGGACTCTGGCTTAATAAATATTGAGTATGGCTGTGAGTTGTTTTGTCTCAGAGAACCCTGTATGTGAACGATAGAAGAGAAAGAAGAGAGAAGTACCTAATATCTAAATTCACAACTCCATATTTTATTTTATTTCTTTGTATTCTTTATTTTTGCTCCAATGTTTCACGCGACCACATTTTTTTTCACCTTTCCCATATTTGTTCCTTTAAATTCTCATTAGCTTTCCAATACTTAAGCACTAGACACCAAGGGTCACCGAACGTAAGCCTAGTCATAATCTCATACGCAAAAATACGCACCAAACTACATTTCTGTTTCACGTCTTTGGGATTGTACAAAAAACAAGTTATCAAGGGGTTATTTTTGATAGTCTCTACACGCATCTGTCTGGGAAGGAACCGCAGGCTTTAATGATGGAATGGACATGAGAACCAGTCTCTTTCTTCTGTACAATCTTACTTCCATTCGATTCTCAATCTTGCTTAACAATAAATGCAATTCTCCAAGAGGGTTTGAACATAAAAGAATGTTTATCTTTCCAGAATTTCAGCCAGGCTGGAAATTGTGCCCAGCAATCACCTGCCAGATATAGCGCTTCTTTTGTTGGCCTGACTTCCAATCTGGCCTTTTGTACACTAAATAAAACAAGTCTGAAAGTGTGCAGCAAATTTGGTTACATTCTAGTCCTTTATTGCCTAACAGCAAAAATATTTTTTCTGGGCATGCAGAAACTTATTATAATCAAATGTATTTAATCTAATAATAGGCTGAGGCAATTTGAGTTCTTTTTGCTTTACCAAAATGCTTGTTGCGAAATGTATAACAGTGAGTGCATTACTAGACATAAGTCCTTATGATGCACTCACTGTTATTCATTTCCCAACAAACATTTGTGATGTACTTTCATTGATTCTCTGTAGGAATCCTAGAAAACGTTTTGCACAGACAATTTGCAACATCCAGATTGCTTTGAAGATGTCCAGTGTCCTGGCTCAACCACTGTTCCTGTTCCAGTTGTTAATTACTCCACGGGTAAATAAAAAAGTCCTGTTTTCTGTCCTGAAATTGCCTTTTCCAACTCTAACCGGTGTCCTTTTGTTCTATTCTCTCGGTGCATCTACTCTGGGTAGATGTCTTACTCTGAGTTTACTTTTTCAATTCAATTTAAAATTGTGTACACCTCTACAACGTCTCCCCTAAGATGTCTTCTCTCATTACATAAGAGCCCTTAGCTTGTCTAATTGTTGCAACTGCATCCAATCCCTTGTAGAGAAGGGAAGTGGTTTGAAGCTTTGTGATAATGAGTCATCCACATATTCTGAAGGGATTTAACCAATTTAACTGAATGCTCATTCCCAAGTAAAAACTTTTTTACAATGAGTTCCTAGCAAGGGCAACTAAAGGATAGAAGAAACATTAAAAACAGGTATAGATGTAACATGTTACTATTTTTAACATTTTCAGATCATTAATTTAGTCATGTCATTCAGTAATAATGTATAACAATTGTTCAATACATTTCAGAAGTACATAGAAAGGACAGACATGGTTCACATACCTGGTACCTTGTTGGTTGGTTTATAATGCTGTTAAAACTTTGGGTTTCCGAAATCCTTAGGTTAGACTGAGTAAAAAGATTCAGCTGGTGGGAATGGAAATACATAACTTAACATTTGTAGAACAACTATATGAATAATCCAAACAATTAAATTAATGGAGAGTTAAACAGAATAAACTACATATACAATAAACCCCCAGTTTACTGGGTGTCCAGAATTCAGACCTAGCTGACCTTGGCCGGAAACAGAAATTAAAAAACATTTTCTGTAGGGACCATTGGCATGTAGACCCCTGACGCCCACTCTCCTCTCACGCCCTCCCGCCTCATTGTGCTCGCTGCCCTTCTGTGGTCAGGGATATTGTCTTTGACTGAGTCTTTGACTCAGTTTGAATGCCTAGAGCAGGAAAGAGTTTATTCGCCACCTTCTGTGCTTGAGGGATTCAACCAACTACAGTGTATTGCCGTTTTCTGGCATTTCTCAGCCATTGATTAAAGCCGATGCTGAAAACAGCCGTAAATGCCAGTCCCTGCAATATAATTACACTAAGCTGGAAACTGTGACTCACTGGACCTGATCTCCCCCCCCATTAACCCAGTCAGCCGGGGCTTAGTGCAATCCCTCTCTCTCTACCCATAACATTTAATTGCATGTTGCCAAATAGCTTCTTAATGTGATTATGCTGCCACAATCCGTCTCCATAGATAATTTTACTTCCACATATTCACCGCTCAACTGCTGTTAACCCTGCAACCCAAGGCCCTCACCGAGACAGGATGGTTCTAGCCAGACAAGCCAAGGAGAGTATTAGACACAGGTTGGCCAGAGCTTACAATGGCAAGCTAGGTGGTTTTAGTTGGTTAAACTCCAACAGTACCCCAAACGCACAATCTGGGGTCTCGAGACATGGAAATTTCCACGTGTAGGTGACATACATGAAACTCACAGTCTGGTATGAATAGTCTTAAGCATGGTAATGCGTTTCCACATATGTCAGATACTCAACTGACCAAAAGCAAATTGTAAATCGCTTTAAATACATACCCTGGACTTTGAATTCATCATTCCAATCTCCACGTCTTTTTTAAATCTTTTCCTTTTGCATTTGAATAAGGCTAGGAGACAGTTTTTGATCCTTATTATTAAATTGATACATGACTTTGGGCTAGGCACAAGACTAAATGGAGGGGGCAATGTTTTCCCATGGTCAAAGTAAGAAAGCCAGAGCTTTGAACGAGCAAATTTCCATTCCACATCTGCGTCATCCTGAGGGTAAATAGAAATAGGAAAATAATGGCAGCATCAATCCTAACAGCAAGATCCCATAAAAATCTTTTTTCAGAAAAGCAATTTGCCCTTTGTAAACAATTAAAACTGAATTTGCCAAATCATAAGGAAACAAAAATTGACATGATTTTAATATGTTTAATGAGGCTAGCTTGTTGGTTTGCCTACTAAGCATTCTAAAGAACTGCAGCCGAGACTGGTGTGTAGAACCCTCATTCTTTGCTACGACTCCTTAATTTCATTTCAGCCATCAGTAGAGCTGTGGAGTAGAGGGGAGACACTTCCCTGGAGTCCAACAAGGGAAACAGCAGTGTGCTGCCACCTTTTAAAAGTTAGTCAAAGGGTGATATTTTAGGAATTTGTCTCCAGGGACTGATGGATTTTGTAAAGGATCTAAAGAAGGTGGAAATACAGAGATGAAAATAGCAACATGTGATTTTATTTGATATAGTGCTTTATAATGCCGTTGAAACGTCTCAAAGTGTTTCACAGAATATATTGTAAAGTGGATTGACTGTTTATTTTGTGGATGAAACGCTACCATTGAGAGATGCCTCACAGTGGTGTAGGTAGTAAGGGTTGGGGCCGGTGGGGAGAACTGCCTTCCCTGTAGGCCTTTAGGTATGTGTGGTGCCTTTTCAAGCATATTATGCAATTGCCAATTGAATGCGTGCTGGCGATCGCCTGGAGTGCGTTTAAAACAAAAACTTGATTATTTCCGGCTGACTTTAAGAGCCTGTGTGGGAAGTGAATGGCATGTTGCTCCCAGTAGAGTTGATACATGTGTTTCACAATATCTAAAATATTTAAAATACTGCTGAAACACTACTCCATAACAACAACTTGCATTTATGTAGCGCCATTCACACAGGATAGTGTCTCGAAGCGCAAGGCAGGTTTCCCCCTAACATGCCTTACCTCAATTTCCTGATATGAGCTGTTGATCATGGCAATCAGCATGTTGAGCAGGACAACAACCATAGTAACATTGTATATTCCATATAAAACATAGCCAATGTTCTCAATGAATTTGTGGTCGTACTTGAGTACGACAGAAGATACTTCAGACAAACCAAAGATAGACCAAAACAATGTCTTGAAGCTTTCTTCAACTCTGGGGATCGCAACAGATTAGAATTGAATGTTAACAAATCCCCCTGTGACAGCAAACACATTACTATGTTCCTAACCTAAAGCACATTTAGAAAGGTGAGAGCTCAACATTGGAACAAGCGGCAGGCAAAGATATTCCCATTAACCAAAAGCAATTTTATTCCCCCTCTGGATAAATTTGTAGTTACGCTGACTTGACCGTGATTCTCTCCTGTGAAAGTCATAATGCATCAAGAACAGTGGGTGCTCTGACATGTGTCTGCGCTGACGGATGGTACCAGACCAAACCCAGAATCAGAACTGAATTTAAAAAAAACTGTTTATCAATCGAAACAGCATATATTACTTAACGATAATACCCAGCAGTGATTTCAAGGATGTAACCTGAAACTTAAATGATGGTTATAAATCATTACAAGAAAGCTATTATCTACTCTTTGCTTTTTGTGTGTATAACTTTGCAGTTATATCTGTAAGTATATTGATAAACTTGATATTTTTCTGCTTTTTTTTACATTTCCCCATGTTACACACCATTAAGAAGAAGTACAGGTAGTTTGTTTTCCAGGACACCAATATCAATCTAAAGCTAATCACAAGACGTACACAAAGAGGCAGCCAGTGCTAATTGTTCCTCTGATATTTCTCTCCCACCATGTGGAGAACTGTATCGCCTCTGCTTGCTACCTCCCCAGCATTCAACCACTCAGATTGGGAACGTAAAGTGAGGGGAAGTGGAGGCAAACAATGCATAAAATGTTAACTACCTGTAGCTTGCATTTTATTTATTGTATTTGTTTTTAAATTTTATGCAGCTTGGGTGCAAACCCTTAGCTGATCAGCGCTTTGGGATGTCCTTCTGACGTGAAAAGCGCCACACAAATATAATTTATTGCTGTTGTAGCTAAATAAGGATCTGAGGGGTCAAGGTGATGTCATAAACAGTGAGAGTGAAGCACAAAATATTGCACAATTCATGATAAAAGTAGCCCAAATTGACAATTTTAACTCAGATGTTGGAATCTGAAGGATATGGCAATACTCTCCCCTGAGGTTGCAGTTAAGGCAGTGGAGCGGGAGTTTATCTTGTATCTAATCAAACTTATATGTGATATTGAGGACCGACCACACTGACATGCCTCACTTCTGATGAGCATGGATTTTTTGCGGGCAATCTCTCTTTATGCATCAGATTTCTCAGAGTGTCAACAAATTGGTAATGTGAAAAAGCACGTGCCAATGTGTTGCACCATGACTGGTAGATTATAGGTTCATTCCCCACCCTGCTGGTTCTCCAATTTTATCTTTGTCACCTTGGCAAGACACAAGTCAAAGACTGATACGGTGAAATCAGAGGTACAATCACTCCAGCCAAACATGTGCAACCTTAGCAGTTAATTAAGAGTGGCACCATGCAGAAAGCAGGCCTCTGCCATCTCTCTTGCACACTTGACATAAATTGAATAAAAGTAGTGACGATGTTTGTACTCACGTTGTGAAGGCTGGATTGACTTTTGCACCAAGGTAGTAGGAATACAGGATAAACATCCCAATCATGAAAGCAAGAAACACCATTATAAAAATCACCATGAATTTGAATATGTCTTTCACTGTCCTTCCGAGGGAAATTTGTAATGGACCAAAGCTTTCGTTTGCAGGCAGGATATAAGCGATTCGTGAAAAACTAAGGACAACAGCTATTGCATAGAGGCCTTCAGATATGATCTGAGGATCGGAGGGAACCCATTTATCTCTGGCTATATAAAAAAAAGACAAATTGTTACCAAGAGAATTTGCTGTTTAAAATCATCTATTTCAAATCAATGGAGGTTTTAGTTCTTTCAGAAAATTAGCACCATTGCTGAACTACATCCCAATAAAATTTACCACATTGAAATCTACTATTTACAATAAAAATTAATGGAAGTACAGAGAATAACCGATAGTCAGAGGTAGTAACACAAATGCTAACAGACAGCAGTGTTAGTGATCACAAATATAGAAGTGTGGGACAAAATGCAAAATGTATGTGATGGGGAGCAGCACAGATCAGGTTAAGATCAGGAGCAAACATTGAAGAGAGTAAGGGAGTACATCAATTCCATCTGAATTCCAAGATGTGTTACTGCCTTTAAGTACAGTCTTAGTGGTGGAAGAGGCATAGATGTTGACTTCAGTGTTGAGACAGACTGGCAGAATCCATATTGTTGAGCCATACAAACAGCAGTCAGTGTGTTTCTTCACTGGGTAATAAGATGTAATGAGAGAAGAGACAGATGCAAACATAAACAGAGAGACAGGCAACACGATTAGAAGAGTGCAGTGCTGCAGCCTATTGTCTGTGGTACACAGTCTTGTGACAGACACACATTTGAAAGAGGCTGTGTATGTTGTTCTCAGTTTTTTTACGAAGCAGCTGTCGACTTTTCTGTCAAGTGAAAGTTTTGTGACACTGGTGATAGCAGTGAAGCAGATGTGACACAGTTCCTAACAGTGGGAGACAGTTTTTTCAGGACAGTAGATAACATGGAAATGACTAGGACTGAATTACAAAGCCCTGAGATGTTCAGCTGACAGAATAAACTACAAATCTAACTCACTGAAAGATATCCTTGGTTCTCAGCCACAGGCCACATCTGAAGGGAGATGCTGCCACCTCCTAACACCCTACCAACTCACCCGCTTCCTCCGCTCAGCCGGCTCTGGCTGCTCCACATCCCCCAACCCACCCGCCCCACCATTGGCGGGAGAGCCTTCAGCCACTCTGCCCCCAACCTCTGGAATTCATCCCCCAGTCACTCCGCCTCGCCCCCTCCTTAGCCTCCTTCAAGTCCCGCCTCAAGACTCTCCTCTTCGACCACGCCATCGGCCACCCCCCTTCCCCTCCCCTCCTTTCCCCCCGCTGACCCCAGCTCGGGTCTGAAATGCTGTACACTGTCCAGTGCCTTGGGACGTCCTCCTGAAGTGAAAGGTGCTATACACATGTAATCTTGTTGTTGTTTTACCCACGATATACTTTATTTATATAATTTAATTTAGAGACTTTATTGAGAGACATTATCAAAAGCTTGTGCAACCTCAGCAATTCGCATGTAAAAGTGATCATGATAAGTGCACACCTGTTCGATCAGTGGCTCCCTGCCCCAATTCCTTTCTCTGTGGCTAAATTCCTCATGCATTGAAAGTCACGTATTTTGGGTTCAATATTAACAACGTATCTCCTTTGGTCCAATACACAGGTCAGATATACCCACAATACAATACAAATTACATTGGTGTAGCGCCGTTCATGTTGGGAGAACATCCCAAGACCCTGGACAGTCAGGCGCTCAGAATCTTTGATGCTCCCATTCCCCGGTCGCTTGGGTGTCCAGCGAGCAATGGCGAGCACTTTGCGATGCCCTCCAGGCACTATATAAATGTAAATTAGTACTGTACCCTTTGAGCTGCTTTCCTTCACTCCTTATGTGCATATTTCCTCTCCCCACCCAAGGCATTTTTCTCTGTAAAATAAATACACTGTCCACTCCTTACTGCTTTTTTCATTAAGAGATTCCAGGAATACTATTAGAAGGCCAAGATATTCCAGTTTTCTCTCATTCTGAGCAGTTTCATAGAGTATAGGCTGTTCGGCGGATAGATTTTTGATCTGTGCACCTCAGTTTCCTTCAGAATCTTTCCCCCTCCCCCCACCACAAGCAATCCATTTCTGCTGCGTTTGTACGCGTGTTTACCAAACTGAGAACTTAAGAGAAAACTTAGAAGCAATTCTGCATAATAAACAAACAAACCTGGAATCAATGGACATAAGTTAGAATAATATTGTAATGTTAAAATACTCTACTGTACAACAAGATCAATCTGTATATTTGTATATCATATGAATTGTAATGTAGTAATGTTCTTACACTGACCAATGAAGGAAAATAATATTTTTGTATTGTACAATATTTTTCATACTTATCTAAGCATCTTTTTTATGCTCAAGAGTTTTAGGCAATTCTGTGTTAAGATCCTTGTTTGTTTCTTTAAATGGGTAATGCCTTTACACAAAGGATTCAGCAAATCTTATTTGAGGGGAAGGAAAGCCAGAAAAGTCAAGCTCCAATTTTGTTTAAACTACTATCACAGCAAATCGACATTTTATGAGGAAATAAAAAAGTCTGACAAATATCTCTCAGGATGATTTGTTATAATGTGTGATTTCTGTTTTAGAAGATAAAAATGACAGTAAAACACCCCTTCACTGCCATGATTTTGAACCGTGTTGGCAGCATTTCTTTTCAAGAGCCTTTTACAGGTATAAACTGAAATCCTTACACACTTAAACATAGTTTATTGCCTTTTTCCAGCACCAGCGTTTATAACTATTGTCCCATGGCAATTTGACAGCCCGATCCAATGATAATTCACTGCAATGTGGTTTAAAGAAAACATATTCACTCTGTTTCTTCCGAGTGGTCAATTCCAAATTCTCTTTTATGAGTTGCTTGTGAGAAGAATTTAATATCACACCATTAGCTCTATATTACATATTTGCTTTCACCTGAACAAAAGGTCACTGCCTTTCACATATATCAACATACAGTACCTCTTTTCAGAATACATGTTCACTAGGGAGTTCTTCTCAAACACTTATTTTATTTCTGGAGTTTGTATTCTTTCACTAGCCACGTGATATAATAATAATAATAATAATCCTTGCATTTGATATAGCGCTTTTCACGTCGGGAGGACGTCCCAAAGCGCTTCACAGAACACACTGTAAAGTGAATTGACTGTATATTTGTGGGCGAACGCGGCAGCCAATTGCGCACAGCAATGTCCCACAAACAGACGTAGATTGAAAATGACCAATTTATTATTGTTTTGTTTTGGAGGGATTATTATTAGGCTCTGTGTGGAGTAAGGAAACTTGCCCGAGGTTTCGCCCTCTGCCTGGAATTGAACTCAGGTCTCTCACTTGCAAAGCGAGTGCTCTAACCACTGAGCTACAGGACTCCACGGTATCGATATGGTTTCAGAAACCTATTTACTGTGGTTTCCTACTCTTAAATCAGACGCAGTGGAGTAGGGATCAAATCAGTGGCTGACTTATTTTATGGATGTTTCAAGTTGACATGAAACTAACAAGTGGGCGATTGGAAAGCGGAATTGGGAGCTTTGGGAAGCTTCTCAATGCCCTGATGGTTCAGAGAGACCTTTTTTGGCAACCATGAAAAATATGAAACACAAAATCTATTTGGACAACGAACCCAAAGAAATCGTGAAAATTTAGACTTACAAAATATTAGAATTTGCAATCAGACACAAGCTTGAGACGTGTAATCTCAATACAGTACCACACTTGCTTCTCTGGAGACTCGGCACAATCATGTTAATGCAGAATTTATCTTTTGCCTGATGTGCCTCAGCCGTGATGCTGGTACCTTCTGACAGGAGCTATAAATGACTTAACCATTTGCTTCACCTGTACAGGCACCAAGCTTCAGTGAAGTTCCACTCACAAAGAATATTGCAGCTTCAAAACACAGTTACTTCCTCGCTTTCCTACTAAGGAGTTTCCAAATTGCTGAAATCATGATCGAATGTCACTAATGGTTAACCATTTGTTGTACAGCCTCCGAAGAAAACAACATGGAGGGTAAAAGTGGAAGGGGCTAACAGTTGCTCAATAATTGGGCTCCCAACCAGATGGTCACAGACTCAATACCAGCTAGTTTTACATTGAAAACAATCTCCACAGCTGGGATAAATATCACATTTTCTTGTACATTAGGTTCAGTCTGACTCTGTGCCTCTACTCTGTCTTCCTGTTAGAGCTTCATAGAATGGCACCACCAGTAGTTCTTGAAGCATTCTGTGCTAAGGATAATCAGATAATCCTCATGATAATTTTTCTTTGCAATATCAAAGCAAGATTTGGCTTATTGTACTTATTTTGGGCCTTTCAGTAATTACTCCCCCCTCTGCCGACCGACCCACTGCACTGCACTTGAACTACTCTTGAGTCAGAATCAATAATGACCCTGAGATGCCCAAATACCTCCAAAATATGTTTAATGGTACCTGATTAGTGGATCTCAGGCACTTTCTGATCACCAAATAGCAGAACATTTATGGAAATGATATCTGACTATCTACTGCCTATCTGATTTAGACTAATATAGTTACTGCCGAGGTTTTTAATTCACAAGCATAGGGTAATATATCTATATAATCCAGTTGATAAGTAAGTGACTTTGTGAACCCCATTTGTGCAGAGTTGTCTTACCATAAGTGAAGTATTCAATTTCTGGAGGCAGCGTTACAAGAGACAGATCACTCTCCTGAACGTGCTCATCTACATACTGCTGTGCTTTGGAAGCTTCCAGAAATGCCATAAACCTCGCTGTAAACGCTGCTATAAAAATCGACAGCATTCCGAAATCTAAGACGTTCCACATTTGGAATATGTATTCCCGTGGCCCTTCTATCCAGATTTCCTTACACTCTGACCACATCATACCTGCAAAGAAAATAATTAATAATAATAAAAATAATCCTTACAATTGATATAACGCCTTTTCACACCGTCGAGATGTTACAAAGCGCTTCATGGGAAGAATTATATATTAAAAATATGTAGTCCCCGTCGCTCAATTTAATAAAGAAAAGGAATCCCCAGAAGGCAGACAGCTTACCTAGCACCCACACCATGATTAACATTTCAGTCCAGGTAAACATGGTAGTTTTCATTCTGAAGACTTGTTTAGGGTAATCCGTAACAGTAACGTTGGGTAAGGTTTTGATGCCTTCAAATCTGTCAGAGGCATTAAATACTAGTAAACACAGAAAGATGATGAAGGATGCTGCATGCATCACAAACTTCATGAAGGGACTTCTCAGAATCTTCCCCAGCTAGAAGGAAAAATTAACATTTGTATCTGTGGTGTAAATACGAACTGAGTATCAGTTATTGGATGTAGCAGAAAGTGTCATCTCACATCAAGGGGATTTGTTTAACTGTCTGCTACACCACTGGCTATTTGCTGTCGAGTTTCACACCAGTGAGTTCATGACTTCACTGAACATCAATGAACCTTAGATTTCAACACATCTACATTCTCGATCTCTCCAGTCAGGTAAGAAAAATCCATTTCCTCTGTCTTGACATGAATTTTACCTGTTGCCCAAATAAAATCAAAAGATTGCAACCAAAAACTAAGGCCTTGGGCAGTCTGTGAATTGCTCTTCAGTAATTCATTTGGCCCGACTGCGCTGTGTCTTGTAGATGAACACAGGGCAGTCAGTGTTCATTATGGTATGTATGGGCTGCTTTTATACCACTTCTTTTGTAAGTAAACATACTAGGATTCAATACATGGAAATTTCGAATCCGATTCATTAATGGAGGGGAAAAAAAACATCTGGCTAATGTACAGCAACTCCACTCAGATACGTTTCCCTAACATTCGTGACATACTTCCTACTTAGGGAAACGGTACTCAATCTGTTCCTTAAAGAAGCCCATCGGAAATCAATACGTATTAGACTCTTATAGCTCGGTTAAAACAAAAGTAACAGCAGAGACAATTTGCATCAACAAAAGGGAAAATATGTTTGTTTCAAAGACCAGAACGAAACAGCCATCTAAATTGGATAATAGTCCACCCTCTGTCATAGGCTATTTTCAAATAATTGTTGCTTTAGCTTACATGGCTGCTTCTACATGCACATCAGCTCAATACACAAAGCTTTCCTGGATTGTCATGTGAATAACATCCTGCCCGCATCTCAGATTTTCCTGGTAATATATTTTATTTCTTTGTTTCATGCCTGACTGTCATATAGCCTGTTATTTCACTCACTTTGGTTTGCTCAATGGAAAACACATCTTAAGTCCCATTGGGTATAATTTTTTTCTGAAACTGCTCACTTCACTGAATGCAACAAAATCACAAGGGTGTTAAAATGTCAACTTCACTTGCTGGATAAATATTGCATCCTGCGGGGTGTGATAGAGAAAGTAACCCCAAAACAGCACATCCAGATGCAACAAAGCAGCAGGGTAACAGAACACGTTTACAAACAAACAAGAAAGTAACCTGTTTACACAGAAAGTAATCGAGAGATGCAACATGTTAGCAGAAAGGAGGATTGTTTTCATGTCACTGATTCATTTAAGAAGCTGTTCAGTGCTCTAATGGGAAGACAGCACTAATGATATTGTGGAAGGATGAGATCAAGTGGGCCACGTAGGACCTCTCTTACAATCTTGTGTTTTCTTTAGGTTCCATGGTTCACAATATTTGTAAGGGGTTGGTTCATCATCAAAATCCCTTCAAATATGAAATAGGTTTCAAGTAATTATGATTAACCCTAGAAGAAGAATTCAAGCAAGTACACCATAAATCCATCCCATTCAATATTCCACTAGATTCACTCTATATCTAAATCTAAAAACCCTGACTTCTCTTGGTTGACAGGACCTAGTCCAGTTTATTTTTGAAATTATTTGTAATTTCTTATTCCATTGCCTGTGCTGGTAGTCTGTTCCGCTTTGCCCATCAATCCTTTGACAAGAAGCATCTCCAGCATTTCCTGCTCATTTGTTTTGTGAACCAGAAGTGTGTCAGCTCAGTTAGCAGCACTCTCATCTCTGCAAAGTCCCACATCGGGACTTTGAACTCAAAGTCTAGGCTGATACTCTAATACAGTGCTGGGGGTGTATTGTATTCTTGGAGGTGCTGTCCTTTGGATAAGATGTTAACCTGAGGTCCGTACGTCTGTTCAGGCGGATATTAAAGTTATATAATAGTATAATAATGTTTGCATTTGATATAGCGCCTTTCAGTTCCATTTACTTACCCTTTTCCAAAACCTCTGTAGTTGATTCCTTTCCTAGAAATGTCTCGGAATCTCCCCATTTGCTTATTTGTTAATTTAAATGAATGTCCTCTATTTGGTGACTTATGGACAAGTGGAAATATTTTTTCCCTATTGACGATCAAAACTTCACCATTTTAATGCCTTTACCGGGTCACCCCTCAAACTTCTTTATTCTGTTCCTCCAGTTTCCACTCAGGCCAAACCACTCATTCCTGCTGTCATCCGAGCAAATCTCCTTGACATTTTTCCTAAAGTGGGGTGACCATTACTGGACAAAATATTCTGAGGTTTAACAAACAATTTATACAAGTCAAGCATTACCTCTTTGCTTTTATATTCTACACTCCTATTTATAAAACCCAGAATATGTGTAAATTGGCGGTTGCATTCACCTACAGTCATTACTCTTTACGGTAAGGCTGAAGCACTTTAAGATATGTTGACGTGATAAAGCTCTATATCAAATTCAAGGATTATTTAAAAAGACAAGAAACAGGCTAGACGTACGAGAAGCACCAATTATGAGATGAATAGAATTGGACAAGGAGAGTATTAATAGCATGAAAATTATACTGGAGGAATATGAATTACACAAGGATTACACAGAGAATATCAATGGCATAACAATTACCTGGGGAGTATAGGAATTGCAGCAGATTTCACTGATAGTGTTTGAATACATGATTGTTTCATCAGGGATAGCAACACTTATTTGAAACTTTACAGTCATCCACGTGATCCGTAAAACTCCCAGGGTATTTTTCACGGTTGTTACAGCCAGTGCAGTGGGAACGAACAAAATGTGGAAGAGAGATTCCATTTTTTTTCCTCCTTCATTCGTGAAGTGTCAGTCAGGGTAACGCTACAAACTCTCCCTTATTATCCTCTGTGAGCTGCGAGTGGCTCTGCCAGATTTGTTGAATACCTCAGCAGGGATGAGCTTTTGAATTCCTGGATTGAACACCAGGTTCAGAATGAAATAAATCTATAAATCCAAACCTTCGGCAATTTTCCTGCCTTGAAAACTTTTTTCTTTGAATCTAGTTTATGCTTTTTAAAGAATCCTTACTTATTGTCAGACTTGCCTTAACATTGCATCTGTATAGTATTTATTTCAGATCAACACTGCACTGGTTCAGCTCTAAATTTATAATCGTAATCCTTGCATTTGATATAATAACAATATAGCGCGTTATCACGTCATTAAGATGACTCAAAAGCTTCAAGAATATATTTTAAAGTGGATTAACTGTGTATTTTGGAGGCGAAACCCGGCAGCCAGTTGTGAATCGCAACATCCCACAAACAATCGTGGATTGAAATTTATGTTCATTTTAGAAGCAAATAGTCTAGTTTTAGCATATAATTGTTTTATTTTCTGCACTTTTTTTTCATTTTAGGTCCATCACATACCATGTACTTTTCCCCAGCAGAGAAGGTGGCCAGTAACTTGGGATGATACCAGGGATGTACTTTGACCTGTGAGCAGAGATAGCAGCAATTGGCCTACATTTCTTGGAACAGAGAGAAGACCTGACAGACAGCTTTACAATTATAAGGCATTTTGATAGAGTTGATAGGGAGAAATTATTTCCACCGGTTGGTGAGTCAATGACTAGCGGGCATTAATTTAAGATAATCATCAAAGGAGCAACATGAGTTTTAGACTATCTGAGAGTCGGTTTTATCCATCTTACGGCAAGAAGCAAGTTGAAATATCGAGGTTGAAAAAATGCTTTCAAATAACATCAGTTTTCCATTTATACAGCGTCACACAAGTCAGGAGGACATCTCAAAGCGCTTCACAGAACCAACTGGGAGCTCGAGCTGGGGTGGGAGGAGGTGAGGAAGGAGGAAAGGGAAAGGTGACCAAAAATGCAGTTGAAAAGAAAGTCTTAAGGCAGACTTTAAAGATGGGGGTGGGGGGGGAAGGGGAGAGACTACAGGATGGAGTTTCAGAGAGCGGGGGCAGAATAGTTTAAAGTTTGCCCATGGAGTGTGGAGCAGGTTGGGCGGGAGACATGAAGCAGGCCAGTATTCGCTGGGCAGAGGGAGTGGCCGAGGTGTAGGAGGTAGCAGAGATAAGGTGGGCGAGGGTGTAAACATGAGGACAAGGAACTTTAATTCAATCCGCAGGGCAATGAGGAGCTGAGTGGAGCTGAGCGAGGATGAGGCATGATAGGCTCACGGAGTTTGGTAAAGGAGAGGACATAAGATGCAGATGGTCTGCAGCTTGTGTTGAGAGGAGTTTGAAGTCCAACTCAGTTGGAGGGCAGACCAACTTATTATAACAATAATAACAATAACTTACTGCTTTTTTTGCTTTCTGTAAACCCTGAGTCAGATTGGACATTAAAGCAGTGCAAAAACTTCAGCAATGCCTGCAAAGTTCAACTGAATCAAACATTTTCATTGAATGATGTTAACTGTTTTGCCCACAAAATATACAGTCAATTCACTTTACAGTATAATCCGTGAAGCGCTTGACTTCTTGAATTCAAGGATTATTATTATTATTATTGTGAGTTGTATTGAATGGCTGGTCCTGTTTAAAAAAAGCTATTTAGCCCATTGTCTCTGATTTTTACTGAGATTCTGTGTAATGTATTCTTTTACAGTTTATTCCATTTTACAAATGATCTGTGAGGAAAACATTATAGAAAGAGGCAGAAAGGATTAACAGTACAATCTGAGAAGCATGGTTTATCATCATTAATTTGCAAAACTCCTATTGCAGCTCTTGTGAGATAGCTCAGGAATCTCAAATTGATAGTACTGTAGTTGATTTAATCTATTTTCTCCATGAAGAATGGTCTTATTAGCTCTATAAGTTCAAGCCATTAATTCTGCGCAGCATAAAATGCAAAGCAAACCGTTGCCCTGATTAAGTAATGCCAGTCATTGTCGCTATACAGGTTTACAGAAAGACCCAGTTCCTATAAACAAGTTCTGTTCTGATAGATATTCTTAGCATTTTCACAACACTCATGTCAGTCTCTTCAAGAAGAACTCTGATAAGGGAAGATTCACTAATCTAATTTATTTTTGGTTGTTTACTGTGGCGTCTTTCTTTTAAAAAAAAATTCTACATATTAAAATAAATCCAGAACTTGAACACTTGCCCTTTAAAGAGATCCATTTTGTTACAAATTTTTTTAAAACAATAATAATCAGCTCAAAAGAATGAGATCTTGATGTAAATTTATCAGACGCAGATTGGAATGAACCTGTTGCAGACAATGTTGAAGTGATTGTGATTTGAGCTTTTGTGTGCAATTCAAGGTTAACTGAGATGCTTCTGTTGAGTGCAGTGAGAGTGTCAACGTCTTGAATGTGAATGAAGCAGTTCTCAGAGAGAGAGATAAAGAAGCAGTACTGAGAGGAGTGTTCTTTTCCAGCAATATGAATACTTTTCAGCTACTGTAGAGGTTGTCATGAAAACCATTCCCTGTTCTTATCAAGTGTATTTTGTACCTGCTGCTGGTAATAAGAATAAGAACAATAATAATAATACTTGCATTTGAAATAGCACCTTATTACATCCTTGAATCATCTCAAAGCTCTTCACAGAATATACTGTAAAGTGAATTGACTGTATATTTTGTCGGTGAAACATGGCAATCAATTGTGCACAGCAGCGTCCCACAAACAGTGGATTGAGTTTAATGATGTTAAACTCAATCCAATGATATGATATTATTTAATGAATCTGTACCATATTTTACATCAGACTGTTTTTTATTCCTATTTGATTCAGGGGTTACCTCTCCATAGTTAAAGCTATATTAGGTAACATTTTTTTAAACATAATATCGAAGTATTTTTTAAATAAATCAACAAACAAATACATACATAAATAAATCCTTGAATTTGATACAGCACCTTTCATGTTGAGAAAAACGTTTATAAAGCACTTCAGAGGATTCGCTGTAAAGTCTAATAATCTTGTAGGCAAATGCGGCAGCCAATTTGTGCACAGCAATATCCCGTTGCAACATAATTGGTCTTATAATAGTAAGTAACAACCGGAATATTGCTGTATAAATATAATTTAATTAACTGGGTTTAAGCAGCCAAGTGCCTAAGTGTTTGCTGCATTTAGAATTGGTTTGAACCATGAATATGCATCGCTCCTTTTTGATGCTTCCTTATTTCTCCTTTTCACAAGATCACAAATGAGGTTCAGATGAAGAAGACCCTTTGGTTCATTTGATCTCCTTCTTCCAAAACACCTACCGTACCATCCTCCCACCAACCTGGTTTGTTTCATCCTTATTGGTGGGCAATTTTTATTTTGTTAGACCTACACTGTGCTCGGTTATAGCATTTCTTTGATCAATGAAAAGAGAATGTTTAGCTGAGAAGCGGTCAGATTTCGGCCCTCCTCAGAATATGAAGGCTGGGAAATAAACATAATATAATAATAATCCTTGCATTTGATATATAGCCTTATCACGTCTTTGAGACGTCTCAAAGCGCTTTACAGACTATACTGTAAAATGAATTGACTGTGTATTTTGTCAGCAAAATATCTAAGAAAAATAAACGTAGAGCCTGATATAAGGCTTAAAATTGACAAATCTCGGACTCAAAATAATTGGAGCTGAAAAGGATGCAAACTATTAGCTGGAAAAGTGGTAATAGATTGTGGCAATGTCAAATAAGGAACTCCGCTAATGTTACCAGTAATGTCAATAGTATGGTGTGGTTACTAAAGTCAGGCACAAATACTATGATGCAGTCATTTGACAAAATAAAAATTGAATTTTTGCACTATTATTTTAAGCAGGAAAATTAATAAATCAGCACATCATTGATAATAATAACAACGACAACAATAATAATAATAATAATCCTTGCATAATGATCTAGACTGGATTGTATCCATCGCAAAGATTAGTCAGTAGCATCATGAAGTCTGAATGAGAAATAGTGTTGAATTTGGCAAACAGAGATCTGCCGGGTTTGATCAATATAAATAAAGAAGCTTCAGAATCTGAATCACTCAATCAATTTGAACCCCCCTCCCCCCATCTTGCCAATCAAATGCTAAAGTATTTTGGTGGAATTCCTCAGGGTTTTATAAAGAGAATCAAATGGACTCTTCACATTTCTAGAATGTTTCCTTATCCCCCTCCCACCATTAACATGATTGGCTTGGCACCGATACAAAATCTTGTTTGGTAAAGTCAGTTCAATCTATGTTCCCAGTGAAGAAATGTACCACGTAGACTAATTGCTTAAACTGGAATGTTATTGAGTTGTAAAATGGTTTAATCATCCAAAGGTAAATTCCTCTTCCTGAGATATGAACTGTCAATCGATAATCAAGGCGTGACATGGCACACAGGCTGATGTGAAGTATAAGCCCAAAGCCTAATTATGTACCATGTTACTGCTGTGTAGAGATAATGCATTTTTTTCTGAAAGCTTGCGCTCTGCCTTGTCTGTATCTGTTTGTGCCTCCATCTCTCTCACCCAATGCTCAACATTACAAGATTGGTCTTCTCACATGATAATATTGTTCTTTTGCACTCCATACTGTCAGTTCATGAGCGTGTTCGTGAGTGACTCACTTCATCATGTCGGTTCCTTGACTATAACAGCTGTAGTTCAACCCACTCTCTCACTTTTGATTTGTCTCGCGGAATATCAACAGCTTTCATTCGATACATTAATTGTGCACCGTTTTCAATAACTGAAGCACGATATTACATTTTTTAAATTAAATTACTTTTTCTCATAAATGTGCATCAGTTTCCAATATTAAAATACCACAGTGGTGTCAGATAAACAAGGCGACCTTTTAGCACTCCTTGTGCCATGTGAAAAGCCCCACGTTGCTTCTCAAGTCTTTTTTTTTGGAATCCATGATCAGCAAAATAAACTTGATGTAGCTGTCACTGTTTCCTGGAGCAACAACATCTAATCAACCTGACTGTTGAGCACACTGCTGGGCATGTATCCAAGTCAATGCAACAAGATTCCCGCTCATCATCATAAGAGATGTTAACATCTTTCTCTGAAGTCTAACTCTCACTCTCACTTTAGGACTATTTTGAAATACTACAAATCACAAGAGAGGTTTGGATGAAACAGTCACTTTGGCTTATTCCAGTTCATCCTTTCACATGATCAACCATAACAATTTTCAGTCATAGCACCAAACTGTTTCTTAAGTGAGACTAGTGTCCTGGCCTCTGTCACCTCCTGGTAACCTGTTGCACATTTTAATAGGGATATAAAAATAATCCACGCATTTGATATACGACTTATAACAATGAAACATCTGAGTGCTTCACGTGTAATTGCTATAATGCCTACCTATTTGTGGATAAAGGTGGCAGCAATTTTGCACATATTAAGGCCCCACAAACATCTATGAAGTGATCGACAAATTTCAAATATTGTTATGCAAATATTGATGTTTAACTTCCACCTGGACAGGCAGACAGCACCTCGGTTTAATAGCTAATCAGAAGGATAACACCTCCGCCAATACAGTGCTCCCCCAGGAGTGTCAACCTGAACTATGAACTCAAGTCCCAGACGAGGGTTTAAACCTCACAATGTCTGAGCCAGAGGTGCAGTGAGAATACTACCAACTAAGCAAAGCTGACATCTCGATTGCTCTCTGGGTAAAGAAATACTTGGGTCTCTCTCTTAACACAACCACTAACATGTGCCCTTTGTCCTGCTGCCAGTGCACATCTGATAGTACTGTTCTACGTTTACTTTCTCTTTTCATTAAGCATTTCTATAACATTTCTTTTTCAGGCTGGTTGACAAGTTCAGCAACACCCTTCTGAAGAAGCCAGAGCTGTATATATATATATATATATATATACATATATAACCTCACACTGTTCCTGCTCTCTGTTTGAAAATCAATACTGCGTACCTTGCTGCAAGGCGCAATCCAGTAACCAATCGCGAAGAATGGGATTCCAATGGCAACAACAAGCACAACTAGGCATTTCATAGCGATCGGCTGCTCCCGTAATCCTGAGAGGTTTTCATACCAGATTGTGAGTAGCTGCTGTTGGCAATTTGGATGGGCAACAAACTATGTGGAACAAACAGAACGGGGTTGTATTAGGTCATCTCATTCAAAGAAAACTTTCAGTGGACTAATTCAGCACTGGCTCAGTGGGTAAATACACTGCACGGTGTAGTGCTGAACCATCGAACAGGAATGCCTTAGGTTCATCCCATTGAGTTAGCTGATCACAGCCAAAACCAGAGAAGTAAATGTCTTTGCAAATGGCCTGTGTCCCGAGGCAAAGAAACTAAGCTCTTCAGTGATCCCTGCTGGAATGTACGTACATGGGCTTAAGATATGACTGGCTTGTTTGTGATGGCCCTATTCTTAAATACAATGATGATGTTATAATAATAATAATCCTTGCATTTGAAATCGTGCTTTGTCACGTTGTCAAGATGGCTTAGCAGTGACAGAGCCAGTGGGGGGTTAGGGGGGGGTTTGACCTCCCCCCCCTATTACATTAAGGTCGGCCAATGTTGTATGTCAGACGACAAAAACTGACTGCAAATAATTTCTCACTTTTAAACTCCTGATCGTGATTACGTTGTCGTTTTGGGTCTGACATGAACGTCGGTGGCATTGAGGGGACGTCATTGTGGCTGTGCTGTGCGTAGCTGTGAAGCATTAGGTCTCCCGTCCCGAGAATGGCAGACGAGCAGAGCTGCTCACAGAGGGCACTGCTTATACACTGGAAATAAACAACTAAACATGATCGAGCCACGATTGGCCATATTTGGCTGATTTGGCCGCTGGTCAAGTCGACCCCCACCCCCCAATACTGTGACCTTAGCTCCGCCTTGTGTCTCACAGCACTTAAATATCACCTAACTTGTGATTCCCCAAACATGACTAAAGTGTGGAAAAAAGCCTAGAGAGCAAACCATGACAGTACTTGACAGCAAACAGTGTGTCGCAAGCTTGGCTGTTAGAAGGCCCCAGGCACTGAAAGTTAACGTACCTTTTTGACTTCATACTTAATGGCCAGTTTGACCCGGGTTAAACCTGCTCTGTGACAATGCTGTCCATCTTCTTGCTCAGCTTCCACATCACCGTTCAGAATAGCTTCCACTTCCTCCGTGTCCCGGCACAGGTCGAGAACGCCAACAACAAAGTCTTTACATTGCATAGATAATTTGCGGTAGTCATTCTAAAACAGACAAAAAACAAGTAAAGACAGTCCTGAAACAACTGGTTTTCCAAAGCCCATGCCTGTAAAAACTGAAAAACAATTAATAAAAGAAAATCAGGATACCTTCCCTCTCCTTTTTAACATTTTTTCTCCGCTTTTGATGCCTGTATGCCACAAACGGAGTCCCAATTCGAAGTGACTGAGGATGGAGTGAGTAGGAAGGTGGCCTTTCCCAGGCATCAGTGAATGCCGCCTTGCAATGAGATTCAGACTCATTTTGTGTAAGTTTCCTCAATTGTTTCATGCTCAGATGTTCTCTGTGTGTCTTTCAGGAAAGGGACTTGCTATTACTTGGCACATCCTTCTAATGTAACGTTAAGATCTTTTCACGTCGGGAGGACGTCCAAAAGCGCTTCAAAGAATATACAATAAAGTGGAGTGACTGTGTGTTTTGTGGGCAAACCCGGCAGCCAATTCGCGTTCCACTGAGTTGGGCAATTCATTGTGCTTTGAACTCCAATGCAGGCATGAAATCACACCCAGTATTCTGTGGGGCCAGCCTATTAATACACCATTTCTAATAGTGTAAATAATGTTGCTAAATCTGCTTTGTGTGGGATGAGGTGGTATTCACATTGCTTTTTCTGTGTACTTAGAACTGAGTTTTACTTATGAAGTTACAGTATTTTGCGAAAAGACGTAGCTTTTTCTAAATTTATAATATCACTTATTATTTATAACAGCTTACTTTTCACACTATCAAATATCATTAGGTAAGAAACATTAAATGTATGTTTACACTCTGCAGCAAAACTGAATTAAATGGCAAGAAGACATTTAGAATTGCACAAAGGTTGGTTTGCAAGATCCGGAAACGTGATGTGTAAAACTCAGCACGCCTTCAAACTGAATCCACTTGATGACCCAACAACAGGGGGAAAATTGTGAGGTGTGATGTGAACATTTTCATGTTTGATGTGAACAGTGCTAATTACATTATTGAAACTTGTGGTCAAGGTCAGTCTATAATTATCCTCAGGCTTCTCCAGCTACAGCACAACGGTTGGACCCAAAGCATCCAGCAGCTAGCGTTGGAGTTATATCTGAGTGCTGATTCCCAGGATACCAACTGGACACAACAAAAATCTGTATCCTGACATTTCACACCTACTAACTCCAACAGTGGTCTGCAATGGTTTCAGGCCAGTCCTGCAGACCAGTTGATAATTATTGACTGTCCCGACTCCAACTGTCAACATTGTGACAATTACCACCAGTTTCTGTCAATCAGTTGTTGTTCCATCTGTATTGTAATGGTGTACAGTAAAGGCACCTTTCATTAACAATGGTAACTCAAGCATTGCAACCAAAGCCAATAAGAGGAGATAGCAATAAGAGGAGATAGCACTGTGTGATGCCTACTGGGATGTTGCAGATCTTATTCTTTGCAGTTAGGTATTCTTGGCATTTCAACATTTTCTGAATATTAGCTATCAAGTAGTTCCGAGTAGATGTGTATATCAGGAGAGGTGACTGGATTGTGAACAAGAGCGGGTACTGTGCTTAATTCCCCCTCCTTATCCCAAAGCTGCTGACGCAAACCTAGAGCTGAGATCCAATAAAACTCGTTCAGTTTTACATGAGGGACAGCCTTCACCTACTCAGTCTTTTGGGAGATTATTTGTATTTTATGAACAATCTAGAGGTACTCAGAACGGCAAATCTCGCACAATAAAAGGTCAGCCGTTGCATGGTAAGATGTCACTCACTCATCCGACCTTGGGAAGGAACTGAGCTCAGTCAATATCCTTCCCCACATGACCTGAGGGAGTGCCACTGTGGGTCACCCTTGCTCTAGTCAATCACAGTAATGTTTTCAGAGGCTTGAAGTAGGTTGCCTCCTGCTCTCTCACCTGGGATTTAGTATGTGGCATTTGGGTGACCTAAAAGAGGGGAAGAGGAGAAAATATAAAATAACTGATAAAAGACATTAACGCTCACCGAAGATGTCACGATGTGTGGACCTTTTACCATTTCAACTTTCTTGTTTTTTAGCTAGAAAAAAAGATAACGAAAAGGCTTTAACATCCTAACCGTAGCGTCATGACATTGAATAGGTGCAGTTAGAGTTAACATTTTGATATCTTTGTAATTTGTCATCCCTATATATCATGTAATTCAACAATCTCCACTTCCTGTTAGGAACGTGTGAAAGAACATGCATTATGACTCGACTGCAAAAGAAAAGTGCAAACCTGTAACACCCTGAATGTGAATAAATAGCATTACAAAAAAGAATAACTTGTGCACAAAATATATTCATAAAAAATACAGTTCCACATTTTCAATAGATCCATACATTTCTCCAAGCCTAAATATGAATCATTGTATAACAAATCTTTTTTAAAAAATGCACAAATAATTCCATCCACATGCATGATCCACAGGAGCAGGAAATATAGGTTGTGAGTTTTAGTGTGTGTCAACCTGGCTCAGTGGCAGGACTCTAGCCTCTGGGTCAGACGGTAGTGGGTTCAATCCTTACATCGGGACTTGGACTCACACAGTCTAAGCTGAGACTCCAATGCAATGCTGTCAATGCTGGGGGTGCTTTAAAATCCCTTGGCGCTATTTGAAAAGAAAAGGGAATATCTGCCGGTGTCCTGGCCAACAATCCCATAATAGAAGTTAATTATTCATTTCATGGCGGTTTGTGGGACATTGCTTTGTGTAATTGGGCTCCTCCATTCGCCTACAAGTAAACAGTCGCTCCACTTCACCATAAATCCTGTGAAATGCTTTGGACATCTTCCCACGTGAAAGGCACTATACCAAATGCAAGGATTATATTTTTATTATCATTCAGTCTTGGAATTTGTTGGCCGAATGTCCTTCTGTATTCAGATCTAAAATTACTTAATTAAAAGCAATTTAGCTTACTATTACATGCCTAGAGCTAATCTTATTAAAAAATATTAAAGAGACATTTAAAGCCAATAACATTGCCAATGCAAGTGCCAGGAACTGCCCTAGCTAAATATAGATTGAAATAATTTTATGCTTTACCCATTATTTTCCTTCTTGGACATTAAGCATAATCTTCTTTAGCAGCTGAGGGATGACGAAAAGACAGGTCATTGACATCTCTGCCATGATAACCGCTCTTTCCTCAGATATTACGAGGAGCACCTGCTGATCTCAAACCACCAGCTAGTCTGAATCTACTGCCTGGCGTCTGAGATTAATTGGTCTGTTACTGCACCTATCACACCTTGCAAGCAGCCTGCAAGCTGACAGTTCCTCAATACCCTAACATTTGGAACCTGCGTGAAACTCACGATTAGAAGTAATTAAAAAGATCCCCGGCAATTGTGTGATAAAGCTTTGACAGCGTATTTTGCTTTTATCAGTGCTTGTTGAAACTCAGCAGAGAAGGTTGTTTGGGTTATTCCCTCTTGTTCATCTACAACAACAGTAACTTGCCATTCATGCGGGGAAGCATCTCTGAGCGCTTGGGTTTATAGGGTTAATAATCCCCCCTTTACTTTTTGGCTCAGGAAGCATCCTCTCATAGAATTACTGTAAAGGTTTCCATATTGATGCTTCAACCTCACCAGAACCCAACTCTCCTGAAAAAATATTCTACTCAATAGCTGTTAATTAAAAAGACGTGTAATGTTCAATCAGCAGCCAGGGCAATTTGGTCCATCATTAAATGGTCAACGGAAAGTGTGATAGATCACAGTCTGAAATGATAATGTGTTTCATAGTGAACTTCACCACGACATACAGGGCATTATTGTTGTTATTACTTTAATTTGGGGCAGCCATGAGAAACTCAGAAAGCAGATCAGGCTAACATGCCTCTGGTGTTGCTAACATCCAATTACAAAGTATTCATATTATTCACCAGGCCACCAGAGTCCACTGTAGAAGTGCAGTAAAACCCACATATGTTGTATCAGTCGGGACCTTAACATTTAATATGACTAACGCAAAGTATGAGTTACAGGCAAACTTAATCAATAATCTATACTGTGCATTAAGTGCACATTTAACGATGGGTCAAGACTTCATTTACCTCAATTCAATGTAATCAGTAAGTGCGGTTATGGTGTTATGAGTTAGGAGATAATAATAATAATAATAATAATCCTTGCATTTGATATAGCGCTTTTCACGTCGGAAGGACGTCCCAAAGCGCTTCACAGAACACACTGTAAAGTGAATTGACTGTATATTTGTGGGCGAACGCGGCAGCCAATTGCGCACAGCAATGTCCCACAAACAGTCGTAGATTGAAAATGACCAATTTTTTTTTATTATTGTTTTTTGGTTTTTTTGGAGGGATTATTATTAGGCTCTGTGTGGAGTAAGGAAACTTGCCCAAGGTTTCGCCCTCTGCCTGGAATTGAACTCAGGTCTCTCGCTTGCAAAGCGAGTGCTCTAACCACTGAGCTGCAGGACTCCACAAATTCTATTCCACTGGCATAGATGATTTGCATAAGATTTAGGATGTATTTGGGCCCGAGAAACCATTACGATTTAGTGGTTTATCCAATTTATAAAATACAACTAGTGCAAAGAAATTTATGTGGGTTTTGATAGGAAACTGAATTCGACTCAGGTAAATGTACAACTTAGGTGATTATACAATTTATAAAGATAAAACTTAAGTGAGATTTACTGTAGATATGTTCATTTTATTGATTTCCTATTGATTTGAGAATGTATGTTGCAGAATGTGAAGTAGGATGTGCAATTTCTGGCAATGTGTTTGTATCTTTCATGGTAAGGTCCATCTCACAATCAAATGGCTGAACCTTTGTCCGATTCATTCTATGAGTGCAGAATATTCTGTGAAGAACCATTGTAAAATCCCACATGTAAATAAACAAAGTCTTGCGAGGCTAGATATGCCTGAGAACAAAGCTTTCAGAAACAGGGCTGGTTTATTTTGCAAGCATATACACTGGCAAGGACGACTCTGCTCAGACCAAAGGATACTACTGTACTGCAAGAATTAGTGCTCTGGATAATATATCTGCTATTCCATTGTGTATGAGATTCATTACCATTTCAATTGGGAATTGAAGAAAGATGAAAAGAGCTTTTCCAACCCGTGCAGTATTGTAAACTCTATTACCCTGAGGTGCAACTCCTCAAAAAAGGTAAAAGGTAACTACAGTTCAGTCTCTACAAATCCCGTGTCATATTTTGAATCACAAACTGAACTGTGGATGCATTTTCTGATCCACAAATTTTAATTATATGTGACTGAACAACACATCCATTTTGAGGTGGTGCAGCCTACATAGAACCTTTAATATTTTCTTCAGGTTTGCATTGTGACACTGAAACAACACATCTCCTTCCTCAGTGAGTCCTGATGGCACTTTGCAATTGGATGTTAGCAACACCAGAGGCATGTTCGCCTGATCTGCTTTCAAAAATTGTCTCATTCATCTGTCTCTTTGCCTTCATTTTACAGGTAGTCTGGCTTCTGGATCGATCTACATCCTGCTCTATTGCTGGATGAACATGTCATCCTGCAATACGAGGTAATTAAGCAAACAAACAGTGTGTTGAATCACTAAAGAGGCATTATCATTAACTAAACATTTCTGCAATTATCCTTATGGATCTGAATTTGGAGTTGAGGTATAGATCAGCCATGATCTAATAGAATGGTGTAACAGGCTTGAGGGGCTGAATGTCCTACATATTTTCATATGTTCCTATGAGCCACAAATATCTGCCCCAAATAGACCAAAGGCAATGGGTAGCTACTTAATGCTAACATATTAAACAACAATTTGTTACAATCCCATAGCCCCCTTACGCTATTCTCCTTCCATTATGCCAAGTTTTTTCTTCTGACCAAAGAACTTTGTTGATATATTTTTCATCAGTTCCAGGATTTCAGTCAGTGAATGGACATTCTGCTTGGCAAAGGTTGATATCCAATCCCATTACGACTTATGAACTATCTTTTAAGGTGTTCCTTATGGTTGTTCAAATATGGAGTACTTCATCAATATAGATTCTTGTTCAGAACTATCTAACCTTGCACTAAATCTCCCTCCTAGTGGACTAGAGGTTTTAACATTTCTTGCTCAACTAATTTCTAGCTTTGGTTATTAATTCTGAAACCCTAGCAAAATGCCTAATACCAAATCAACTGCTTTCAGCCATTATAATAATCAATTTTGGTTATCCATCTATATAAATGGTAAACAGTCTATGTCTCAATATTTCTAGGAAGACTCAACCTCTTGCACTGGAGTCGAAACTTGCTTGTTAAATCCCTTCTGACATTCCTGATCCTAGTTGTTATTTATATTCCCAATTTTGCTTCTCCATAAAATGGTCCTCCGCGCATTCATAACATCGAGGCTCGACTATGCGAACTCCCTGCTTGTCAGCTCCCCAACTCCTCCCTCCACACACTGCAGATCATCCAGAACTAAGTCTGCAGCCCGTGTCCTCTTCCACACCAGGGTCTGTGACCCTATCACCCCCACCCTTGCCCGACTCCATTGGCTTCCCATCACCCAGGGGGTACAGTTTAAGCTCCTGGTCTTCACCTTCAAAGCCCTCCATGGTCTTGCTCCCCTCTACCTCTGTGACCTCCTAACCCCCTATCAACCTGCTCGCTCCCTCCGCTCAGCAGGCTCCTGCCTGCTTCACGTCCCCCGGCTTGCCCACCCCACCATTGGCGAGCATGCCTTCAGCCACTCTGCCCCCACCCTTTGGAACTCCATCCCTCAGTCCCCCCGCCTCGCCCCCTCCTCCGCCTCCTTCAAGACCCATCTCAAGACCCTCCTCTTCGACCATGCTTTCAATCATCCTCCTTCCCCACTGCCCTCCACCCTCCCCAATCCCAACCCCCAGCTCGGGTCCGAAACACTAACACTCCAGCTCCTTAGAACATTCACCTGATGTGAAAGGTGCTTTACAAATGTAATTTTGTTGTTGTTGTATTAGTTGTTGTTGCAAGGATTATTATTATTATTATAAAGTTTCCAACTTTGCTAAAGTTAAAGCAAAACATGTCCATTTCGATGGATATTTAAGAAGTCGTAAAACTTACCTTGAATTCTTTTTCAATATTTGCCAACTTGGCCAGTTCATTACTGAGTTCCAGTGCAGTATGTACTGGATCCTCACTGGACAAAGATAAGTAAGCAGGGCTCGCTAATCCTTTATAAGCATTGATCCTGGATCTGGAATGGCTAAAAGAATCGTTCTTTTGTTTCTCCACACATTCATTGCATTTGCAGAAATAGTCGTGAGGTCTTTCAATCCGCGCTCCTTTCATCAGCAGCATGTGCACCACTTCGTATTTCTGGCAGTGAGAAGCCAAAATGATTGGGGTGATGTCTGGCGAAAATCTGGTGCCATCTTCGTCGTAGGAGTAAAAATCATCATCCTGCAGCTCTTGTTCACAGGGACTGAGGGTCAGACGTTTACTGTGAATAAATGCGGAATGGTTCAAAATTGCTTCGACTATTCGGATGTATCCTTTACTGATGGCTAGTAACAGAGCATCTCCAATTCGAGCCAGGTTATCTCTCTTCAGAAGAAGCTCTGTGACTTCCAAGTGTTCGTTCCCAACTGCCAGCTGAAGGGCATTCTGGCCCATATAATCAACACAATTAACATTTAAAGTCTTGGTCTCCTCCAGCATCCTCCGGATAACAGGGATGTTCCCGTACTCAGCCGCATCCAGAAAGCGTTCCTCCTCCGGAGATAGGCTTGTACCTCTGTCGTTGAACATAAACGCTGGACCTCGGATGGCCTGTCTCCTTCCCTTCTCCCTCATCGCTGTCATTCTCCGCTGCATTACTGTTGGATTACTCACACTTTGCCTAAGAGATAGAGAGGAGACAGTAAAAGGAGATAACAGAGTGAAACATTTCCATGGTTCTCCACTGAACTCACAGCTGTGAAAGCTCAATTTTTCCAAATCTCTGTGCAGCTGTCTGACCTCCTGCCTCTGGGGATTCTCAAAGACGATGGCTGGCTCTGGGACGCTATGCTGCGTGAGGGGCACTTTATAAATGGAGGTTGTTGTTGTTGAACCAAAAATTGTCCCCCCAGGCAAACGCAACACTATGCCCCAACATTAATTACCAAAGCTGTCCACAAACCAAAGTATAAAGCTCACTCTCCATCACACTGTATGACGAAAGCTGCACTGTGCCGGAAGCGGTTTATAGCAAATTACTGCAAATGAGGAATGAATTCAATTCTATAAAGTTTTGTTTTACAAGAAAAGAATGCTACGTTAATCAGGTCCCTCTTACTGCCATGCTCAATCCACTGTTCTGTGGTCCCAATCTTCGAACTGTAAAATAAACAACAATAACAACAAATTACACTTGTATAGCAACCTTCATGTCAGAACGACATCCCAAATAAAATAGATAAAAAACTACCTCCAGGCCGTAACAGGAAGTTCACTCCTCTTGATGGGAATTCATTTATTAAAAAATTAAAAGCCAATTACTGTATTTAGAACCAATTGGCAATATGTTTCACATCCAGTATTCCATTGACTACGCATTTGCATGAGCAAAATAAATCTTCCTTCTCAGACGGTGGTTAACAGTTTGTTGGGCAAAGCAGAGAGGGCAGCAGATTTAGAAGCGAATTGGATATGTTTTATTAAACAGTTAAGCGGATTTGAAGCTTTGTGGTACAGGAAGAGTATTTCTAATTGAGACTGCACAGGTGGACAGGAATGCTTTTTTTAATCAGGTCTTGCAAGTTCCTATTGCTTAAATAAATACAATGTCAGTAGAGAGTAGAAAATTGTTATAACTATTTTTAGCTGCAACTGTTTTCAATAAGCGATTCTTCAAACTCCAGCTTTTCTGATAGTCAATTGCCTCCTGGTGAGTGATTTGTACAAAGGAGCATTTCTAAGGCTAGTGAGCTGTGATCTACGATAAAGACTGGGAGTTAATTTCCTCTCAAAATGACGGCCTTATTCATTGACATGTTTGCAATGCACTCAGCCCAATGAACACAGTAAAGCACAAATGGAAAAAAAAGGAATGACGCTGTTAATGAGACTGCACTCACCCATCTTATAAAAAGTCAGATATATTCTCAAATATTTATGTATTGTCAAGCTATGTGAATCTGTTAGGGAACAATCTCTGGATAGCCTTCTTTTGCAGCTGTCTTACAGTGAGATATTGTGAAATATCTGCACCTGTCTGTTCCACATTTCTTATTTCCACATTTGATTCATGATCTCGCATAACTCGGCCACAGAAAAACATAGGACCAGGAGTAGCCCCCTCAGCCTATTCTGATCCACTGATAAATAATAATAATCCTTGCATTTGATATAGTGCTTTTCACATCTTCTCAACGTCTCAAAGCGCTTCACGGAATATGCTGTAAAATGAATTGCCTACATATTTGTGGGTGAAATGCAGCAGCCAATTGCGCACAGCAGTGTCCCACAAACAGTCATGGATTGAAGTGACCAATCTATTATTGTTTTTTTTCTTGAGGGATTATTATTAGGCGTGTGGAGTGAGAAAACTTGCCCAAGGTTTGGCTGTGCCGGGAATCGAACCCGGGACTTTCGCTTGTGAGGCGAGTGCTCTAACCACTGAGCTACAGGACTCCACAAATGATTAAATAATAATGAGGGTTTACCGTAAAATATCGTGATTGTGTATATTGCAGGCAAACGTGGTATCTGAACACTTCCATTTATGGCCATATTATCTAGCAGACAACAGACCTCGACAACAACAACAACAAGATTGCATTTATAGAGCGCCTTTCACGTCGGGAGGACGTCCCAAGGCGCTGGACAGTTGGGTCGGGACCCGAGCATTGGGGGGAAATGGTCAGGGTGAGGGGAGGGAGGGAGCGAGGAGGGGGGGAAATGGTCAGGGTGAGGGGAGGGAAGGGAGGGAGCGAGGAGGGGGTAGAGAGTCGAGAGGGGAGCTGAAGGCACGGTCAAACTCTTCTTTTTAAGTATAATAAGTGTGAGGGTAAATTCAAGCATCTGGGATGCTACCTTGTGTGGTGGGCGTGATATAAATGCAAGTTGTTGTTGTTTTAAATTGAAGTCTTTATACATTAATTAATCCTTCTATGTTTATGGCTTTGGGTAGCACCCTGTCACCCGGATCTCAATTATGTTGGAAAAAAGGTCGTAGTTCCCAACTTCTTCTGCTGGTTCTCAGAGGTGAATATACTCTGAAGCCATGGCATAGGTTATGTTTGAATCTGGTCAGTGCTACAACACGTAAATAATTCACCGATGCCTAAAATATTTTTAGTAGGTGCCTCCCTTACTCATGAGGTAATCCAAACTAGTGTTGACTCTCAAAGCCGTTACAAAGCCCTGTTAATAATAGATGCACTATGCACATCTTCTGCAATGAGAGGACACATAATTGTGAAATATTCTAGTGGTAGCCACAGCTTCCTGATGCATTGTGTCTTTGCCTAGTTACGTTAGTGACATGTTACCTGGGGATAGAAATGTGTCTACCATTATAAAGACACATGTGCCCCTGTTTAAGCCTCTGCTTCTCTCTGAACATCACAAGATCATAAGATTGGTTTGGATGAAGAAGAAGACCCACCCTACCATCCTCCCATCACAGCATCTTAATAAATGAGTCTTAGCCTCAATCACCCAGGACATTCATGTGCCAAGCAATGCAATTTGAACCCATTGAACTGCTTACAACAAGTAAATAGTCAAAATGGTCAACAGACTACAGTGAACTAGATATCTTGCAATTAAGAGCCCGACATTAACCTTACTTGCCGTATTACTTACGACAACCCCTTTACCTGAGTTTTCTTGAAGCCATGCTTTTGGAGGAAATCAGCTTCATTACCACTATTTTTTCAACACGTTTAATCTATGAACAGTGCCACAATAGATAATTTATTATTACCAAAAAGAATGTATCAATTTTAGTTTTTAATTGAATTTTGCCAGTTGAAGTGAGGCTCTGGAACCCTGTTCCTCTAATTGAACGCTGCGGGTGGGATTGTGGTGAAGTGTAGTAAGTCCAGCAGTGCTGCACATAACAGATGCTCAGTTTTCTATGCCGTAAGGTGCGTTGTGTCAGGCAAATCTTTCCTTATACAGTAGTTAAACAGATTTGTTCTTCCAAACATATTTTGGGATTTTATTTGCACTGCATTGAGAAATATCATTATTCGTACAATTTATCTAGCAAGCAAGGCTGGTCATTATTCACTGTCATTTTCAGATAATACTCATTTCATGTTATGGCTGTATGTTATTCCAGATACAATTTGCCACTTTATGGAAGAAACCAACAAACATTTTTTCCACATCTTGGTTACATTTTTGTACATTTTCTTTAATGAAAATGTTTTCTTATGGTGTTGTTGCAATTGTATTCAGGAAGTATCTGCCATAATCATAAGTACTCATTATTAACATTTATAATCTGATAAATATTATAAATCTATTATAAATGTTATTTTAAATATTTAAAATATTATTTATAAATTGACTTGCAGAATGGGCAGATAGGTGCAGATGAAATGTAATAAAAAGGAAATGTGCATTGATTCATATTTGTAGGAAGAATAAAGAAGCTCATTATACTCTGTATGGTCGGAACCTGAGAAGTAGAAGAATAAAAGGATCTAAAGATTCAGATTCACAAGTCTTTAAAAGTATCAACACAGGTGGATAAGGCCATAAAGAATGCAAATATAATTCTTGGCTTTATGGTCCCGAGGAATGGAGTATAAAAGTAGGGAAGTAATATTAAATGTATGCAAAGCCTTGGTGTGACTGCATTTGGAGTATTATGCACAGTTCTGACAACCAACAACAACAAAAAGCTTCCAGCACAGTACGGAGGAGGGTCGGGAGGAGAGACCTGCGTTGTCAGAGGAGAAGAGATGAAACCTCAAACCCACAGTAAATCTAACAGGGAGTATTGGAGGAACTTCTTGACATCCAGAGGGTGATGAGAATGTGGATCTCGCTGCTGGAAACTGTGGTTGTAACAAAGAGTATCAGTGTATTTAAGAGGAAACTTGATACATATATGAGGGAGAAATAAATAAAATAAAATACAATACACAAAATACAATTTACATTGATATAGCTCCTTTCATGTCAGGAGGACATCCCAACCCACAATCACAGTATGGTCATTGCTTCTGAAATAGAGGGGAATAGGAAGGGTGGGGACTTGTGTGGAGTATATACTGGTATATTTATTATTTATTATTCATATTTATAATTATTTATATTAATTACATGGACTAGTTGGGTGAATGGTCATATCATGTTTCAGATATTGTTGGAATGATTACTTCTACCCCTTTCCAGCAATTCAATTGACTTTGCTGCAACTTTATAAATCATAATTTTTAAAAATCAAATGTAGGTTACTGAAGAGTGGGTGTTAGCCTTCGTCTTCTGTTTCAAAATTGGCAATCCTGGGAATGTTAAAGATAGAGTAGGTCAATTAAATTGATTGTTTTTAAAAAAGAAAACTGCTACAATCATTAATGTTCAGGGATTGTCTGGTCTCAAAATGTTAATTAATCTTAATTATAGTCCCTTTTAAACAACGTCAGATAGAATAATAATCCAAATACAGTGTTGATAGATCACATCAGTGCCGGTAACAAACCAAATGAGCGAACAAAGACTGATACAGTCAAGCCAGTTTACAATGCTTCACACTGAGTTTTAATTCATTTTCCTAGTAATTGATTGAATCGACAAAGTTCAAATTCAACCCTTCAGTGACTCATATATGTGTTTTTCCCCTTGTAATTAGTTTGCTGTTCTTTCTGCTTCTCTCTGTCTGTTGTGCATGTATCTACC